TTGTCATTCTGACAGCAGCCGTCTGCTGGGTAATTAATGGCCTGAGATGATTTATTGTTGTTGAGCCCCATGCACAGATTTCATAGGTGAGATAGGGGTAAATAAGTGAGTGATACAGGGCAAGGAGAGCTGATTGTGGAACATAGTATCGTACCTTTGATAATATGCCTACGGTCTTGGAGACTTTCTTGGAAAGTTGTTGTACATGTGTCTGATATTTAAGGCTATTATCAAGGTGGATTCCTAAGAGTTTTCCCTCTGAGTTTTGTGATAGGTGATCCATTTACCATTATGTTGAGGGGAACATTTGTAGCTCTGTTCCCAAACTGAATGAAACAGGTTTTGTAAATATGGAGAGTAAGCTTGTTAATCATCATCCAGGTAGATATTTTCTGTTATTCACTGTTTACAGTACTGGCTAGTATGACTGGGCTTGGGTGAGAGATGTATGTAGTGTCATCTGCAAATAGTTGAGTTGAGTAGTTGAGATGCATTTGGTAGGTCATTTATGTAAATGAGAAAGAGAAGTGGGCCAAGGACACTTCCTTGTGGGACACCGACTGTAATTGGTTGTGTGAAAGAGTTAGCTCCATTCGTGTACACATATTGGCTTCTGTTGCTAAGGTATGACTTTAGGTAGTTGAGGGAGTGCCCTCTTATACCATAGTGTGATAATTTTATGTGTAACAAATCATGGTCAACTGTATCAAAAGCTTTACGTAGATCAATGAAGATCCCCGATGGGACTTCTTTTTTCTCGAGTGCTGTGTATATTAGTTCTAGCATGTGTATAACAGCATCATTCATGCTTTAATTAGGCCTGAACCCAAACTGACAGGGGTTGAGTATGTTGTTGGAGACGAGGTAGGAATAGATCTGCCTATGAATTAATTTTTAAAAGATTTTAGCGAGAAGGGGTAAGTTAGATATTGGCCTATAGTTATTCGGGTCTGTTTGATCTCCTCCTTTATGTATCGGGGTGACCCTCGTTATTTTCAGAATTGAGGGGGAAGGTAGAGGATTCGATGGATTTGTTTAAGAATGTTGCAATAATTGGTGACAGCACCTGAGAAGCTTTTTTGTATATAAAGGGTGTTAAGTTATTTAAATCTCCTGCCTTGTTCTTTAGTGCGTTGATAATAAGTGAGACTTCTGCTGGGTTGGTCAGAGCTAGGAATAGTGTGTTTGGGTAGCTGCCAGTGAGGTAGTTGTTAGGTGGGGTGTTTGAGCTTGGGATTTTGCTTATGGTGGAGAAGAAAACAATGAGCCTGTTTGTTGTTTCAGTCAGTGGGAGTAGGGGTTCATCTGGTTTTCTTAGTTTGATTGTTCTGTTTCCTGGTAATTTTTAAGTTCCTAGAATTTTGGATAGGGTTTTCCAGATCTTTTTCATATCACCTTTTAAGTTAAGTAATCTGTTCTCATAATGCAATTTTTTTGCCCTTATCAGGCTGGTTAGGATTGACGAGTAACGTCTTGTTTGGTCACTGTCTTTGTATGTCTGTTTGTCTGCCTGACTGTCTGCCTGTCTATCTGTACATCTATCTGTCTGTCTGCCTAGCTCTACTTATCTGTCTGTCCAGTTCAGTTTATCTGTCTTTCTGTCTTGTGTGTGTGCCTGGAGTATATGAACTCCTTGAATAATGGCGTTACGACAAGTGTCAGATAACAAATGACATTTGATGAATGTGCGCTGCTGGAAGGGGAACCTTGCATTTATATGCTTTTACTCTTGCACACAAACATGACTCTGTATGTCTGTCTGTCAGTCTGTATCTGTCTATCTGTACATCTATCTGTCTAGCACTGCTTATCTGTCTAGTTCTGCTTATCTGTCTTTGTCTGCCTGTGTGTATCTTTCCATCTGCTTGTCTCTGTCTCAGGGAGCAGCTAGTAAACCTGTTGGTTTGTGGTGTATGTGCCGCTCCCTGATTGCTGAACAAGTGACACTGCTATTATTTGCGTCATGTTTATTTATGTCTTATATCTACAAAAACTGTATAGCACTTGGCCTGGAATTTTGGGGTTATCCTAGGTAATTTACATTATGTATAATTGTATTTATGAGTACAGTGAGAGACAGAGATACAAATAGACAGTGATATAGACAGATAGACAGAGATATAGACAGATAGACAAATATGGATAGAGACAGCCAAAGCCAGCCAGCCAGCTAGCCAGCCGAATACATAAGAAAGAAAGAACACTGCAGTAGGCCTACTGGCCCATGCAAAGCAGGTCCATGTCAACCCCGGCTTAGACCAATGACCCACCTAGTCAGGTCACATCCACTAAAAGAAGGAGCACGACATCTGACCCAGTAGCACAAGCTAGTCAGGTCCAACTCACACCCACTCATGCATTTATCTAACCTATTTTTACTTTCCTCTTAAAATGTGTGTTAATATGACATGAAATCAGTGAATCACTGGTGTTTGCCACGCTATTTGCTTTAGCTGGTGCTCAGTGGAACTGGTGCTCCCATAAGGCACTAAGTGGTCCCCGATTTTTTTCATAGTGCACACACTGAGTGCACAGACCCATTCTTTCATGTCTAGGCGACTCAGGCCTATCGCACCAAATTTGAAGGAATGAAAAATAAAACGTTGATCTTCGTTCGGAGCCCACCGCACGTGAACGTATATCTACATGTGGACAGTTTAAGGGTTAATGTTGCTGATTCCCATGCACAAATTCCTTATGTGAAATAAGCGTAGATGAGTGAATGATACAGTGTAAGGAGAGCTGATTGTGGAACATAGTACCATATCTTTCATAGTATGCCCACTGTCTTAGAGATTTTCTTAGAAATTTGTTGTATGCGTGTCTGGAATTTGAGGATACTGTCAAGGTGGATTCTGAGGAATTTTTCCTCTGTGAGTCTTATCATGGGTGATCCATTTAGCATTATGTTAAGTGGAACATTTGCAGCTCTGTTTCCAAACTGAATGAAATAGGTTTTGTCAGTATTGAGGGTAAGCTTATTTGTCATCATCCAGGTAGATATTTTCTGTAATTCAGCATTAACAGTGTTAGCCAGTATGACTGGGTTTGGGTGAGGGAAGACATATGTTATGTTGCCTGCAAATAACATGGGTTTGAGTAGCTATGATGCATTTGGTAGGTCAATGAGGTAAATAAGAGAGAGGAGTGGACCAAGGACACTTCCTTGTGGGACACCGACTGTGCTTGGTTGAGTGGAAGAGTTTACTCCATTTGTGTACACATTGGCTTCTGTTACTAAGGTATGACTTTAGGTAGTTGAGGGAGTGCCCTCTTATACCATAGTGTGTTTATTTAATGTTCAGCAAATCACGGTCAACTGTATCAAAAGCTTTACAAAAATCAATGAAGATTCCCTGCAGGACTTCTTTCTTCTCGAGAGTGGTGTATATTAGTTCTAGCATGTGTATGATAGCATCATTTGTGTTTCTATTAGTCCTGAATCTAAACTGACAGGGGTTTAGTATGTTGTGTAAGATGAGGTAGGAATAAATCTGTCTATGAATTAATTTTCCAAAGATTTTAGAGAGCAGAGGTAAGTTACATATTGGTCTATAGTTATTCAAGTCAGTTTGATCACCTCCTTTGTGGATCGGGATGACCCTCACTATTTTGAGAATTGATGGGAAGGTGGAGGATTCGATGGATTTGTTAAAGTGTTGCAATAATTGGTGGCAGTACTTGAGATGCTTTTTTGTACATAAAAGGTGGTAAGTTATTTATGTCCCCTGCCTTGCTTTTAAGGGTGTTGATGATGAGTGAGACTTTTGTTGGGTTGGGTAGGGCTAGGAATAATGTATTCAGGCAAGTATCCATGAGGTAGAATGATGGACACCTTACCACCTTTTAATGATTTATTAGATATTATTATTAGTGTGTAAGCAATTTGGTATCTACATTCTCTTATAACTGGTCCGACTGATTTGCTAATATATATACAGTGGACCCCCGGTTAACGTTATTTTTTCACTCCAGAAGTATGTTCAGGTGCCAGTACTGACCGAATTTGTTCCCATAAGGAATATTGTGAAGTAGATTAGTCCATTTCAGACCCCCAAACATACACATACAAACGCACTTACATAAATACACTTACATAATTGGTCGCATTCGGAGGTGATCGTTATGCGGGGGTCCACTGTATATTCTCCAAGTATTTTATCAAGGCCACTAATTTCATCAATATGGTAGACTGACCACACCTTGACCTCACGGGTTGATGTACCAAATCAGTTCATAAATCAAGTCTGCATTAAAGGTTGAACTGTCATAGAAGGAATGCAACATAAGTATTTCACAGTGTTGATAAAGACACACGAAGACTTAAGAAACTATTGTTCCATGTAACACTGATATCTAGTTATTTTCTTGAATGAATTTCAAGTTATCTGAACTTAAATTTTTTCCTTTAATTATAATTTATAAGTATCCATTTATATTTTATAATTTATGTATATTCAAGACTTATACTTACACTAAGGCATCAACCCATTCAGGGTCCAGGGGCCAAATTTCAAAGTGTGCACAAGGGTCCAAGAATTTTCAAAAAAAAAATTTATTTTTTCTTATGAAATGGTAGAGAATCTTTTTCTGAAGGTAATAAAACAAAAAGTATGAAATTTGATGGAAAATTTACGAAATTATGCTCGTGAATTTTGATGTGACAGCAACATTTATGAACTGGCGATTTTGCCGACTGACTCCCATTTTAGGCCAATTACATTATTCCAGTTGACCAAATTCTTAGCTATTTCACTAGTATTACTTCTATTCTATCGATTGAGCACAAGAAATCGCCAAGTCAACTGTTTCAACTACAAAATAAAGTGATCGGAAATTGGTAATTTGGCCAATTTAACACAAAGTTCAAAATATTCCAATTTCAAAATAGGGTCCAGAATAAACAATGTAGGTATTCCTGGCACTAAACTAACATTTCCTCTATTCATTAGTCATGTTTTCAGGCTTTACAAATGAATTCCATTTCGATTTTTTATTCACATAATGAATTTTTATTCAAACCAAAAAATAGAAGATTTACTGTTATGCAATATTGTAATAATTGTATAAATATCATCACCACATTTGTGAATATATATTAGACCCACCAGCTGGTGTGTATTAGACATGTGAGATCGTTTGTTTACTCTTGAACATCGGCAAAAATTTAACATTTCTGCTACTTTGAGCTCAGTTTCAAGCCATTTCCAGTGCCAAAATCATCTCTATTTCTATCAAATGAGACCAACAAATCGCAAATACAACTATAAAAAAAACATACGAAAAAACACTGCAAAGTTGCTGTTTTAATCGAAAATCATGGTCTCAGTTTTTTTTCCTCTGATTATACAATGTGTGCTGCAGGATTTGTTTTATGTGGTGCACACACACCACATAGATGTATTATCTCATATCTAGGCCCAAATTTACCACTCACAGCTTATCAGAGTGAGCTGAGCTCATGGCGTAGATCTACAGTTTGGACCCTGAACGTAAAGCCGTAGATCTACGGCACGGACCCTGAAAGGGTTAAGTGCCTTGCTGAATTTTTTTTTTTTTCATATTCACATTAACCTATCACTGAATTCCAATTACCTACTGAACTGAATTTTTTATTGACTGATTATTTTCCTCAACTTTCCCCACATGTCCACAGTATGCTAATTCTCAATATTTCTACATTTTTTATTATCAGACACAGAAACTGCCCCATATGTAATAATTAAACCAGGAGGTGAAAATTTAAGTGCATCACTGTAAGAGGACATAAAATTGTTGAGGATATTTTACATAAGAACACCACAATAAAGAAAGAAAGAAAAAAAATTCCAGAGGATTTAAGACACTAATTTCTAGGATTTTAAAAACCATAGTAAAGTCTGAAAAACTAATGAGCATTCTATGGGTTATAGGCTGAAATGTAGCTAATGATAATATCAATAAATCTTCATTTCTACATGCTACAACTGATCAAGATCTGGTTGATGTCAGTGACATACTATAGTATACAGAAAGCCCCTGGTTATGCAGAGCATTTCAGGCAAATTAAGTTTATCTGGTTCCCCAAAATGTGACCCACAACAGTCAACTAATAACCAGGTACATACTACTAGGTAAACAGGGGCAGCAGGTGTAAGGAAACATGTCCAACGTTTCACCCGTGCCTGGGATCAAGCCTGGACTCTCAGTATGTGTGATGAGGATGCTACCAAGCCATGAGGACCTGCTCATACACTAACCACCCTCTCGAAATACATACGATTAATATCCATAGATGTACAGTATTTCCTTTTCTAAACACGAAGATGATACAGAGGCCCCCATTTTCATAACTACCATTATCTATACAATGACAGTTCCTTTCCATTTACTATATGCAAATACTGACCATCTTGTGTTCAAAATTATGTTCATACACTAACCACCACTATTTGTTAGTGACCACCTCTAGCCTCACATTTCAAATATTCCTATCACTGCATATTACCATCCAATTGCCCATAATCTCAATATCCCTACAGTTACTACTCTACTGTTTTTCTCACAATGTTAACATTAACATACTGCCAATACCAAGCGAGTGTGTAAAGCTTGTAATACAAATTAAATACCTAATCATGTACCCTATATGATTTATTTTATCTTTTTTCTTTTCTGCTTTTGCTCTTTTCACGTAATTCAAGCTTTTTCTGTCTTCTCACACTTGCAAGGATATTTTCAAAATTTGTAGTTTTCTTCTTTGCACTGCCCTTTGGTCCTGCACTGCCTGGGGTACGACGAGGTGTCAGTCGCAAATTGGCAGGTTCGTCATCAAAATCAAATCCTGAAGTGTCAACTCTGAAGGAGGAGAGAGAGTTCAAGGGTGACCACTCTCAGAATAAAGTACTTCATTCATGTCTTCAAACTACCAGTGTATAACGATGAAAACTATAGTTGTATTACTGTGAAATTTCATAACAATTGAAATCCTATACTTTACACTAAAATGAACATTAAAAAAATAAAACCTACTTCTCAGCTTCCTTTTCCTTTTCACTTTCAGAATCACTCTGAGATGGTGTTGGTGAACGTCTTCCTAGCTCCCACTTCCAAGCGATAGGTAAAGTTCCATCCCTTGCTAGGGTCTCATACAGTCTAATAATCTCAGCAGGAGAGGGTTCAAACCCTGAAAAAAATTAGCCTTGTAATCCCATGCATATTTAATAAAATATTTATCTTCAAAAACTGTATAAAAATCACAGGGAATAACTGCTTTGGCACAACATGAACTGCTAGCAGGATACAACACGGCAAACTGTATTACAAGAAGCAATATTTAGATGATGAGGCATGTCCAACCTTAAAACAAATGTATATATTTAGAGCACATTAGTATGGTATACTCTGCAGGCTTATGGAGGTGCCCATAGCAAAGGCTACATTCATACAGTCCACCAACTAGTTGCTATGATGCTCAATAATGTCTTGTCTGACTGATGAAGTGACATGCGCATCATTTTATGATCAATTTGCTCACTGCAATACTATAGTACAAAAACATTAAGTGCAAAAATGAAACAAGTTTCAACAATGTTTTTCTTACATAATAAAAAGACTCTTAAATTCATGTCAGAAAAAACAGATTACTGTATTGATTATTAAAAGAGCCTGCTGAATGTAAAATTATGAAAAATATCTTCTTATATGTAGATGATTCAAACTCTTGGAATGAGACTAAATTGCTAGAGCATAATTATGTACAGCTTGAAGAAGCACTTGTGGTTCTCATTATGTACAGCTTCAAGAAGCACTTGTGGTTCTCATTATGTACAGCTTGAAGAAGCACTTGTGGTTCTCATTATGTACAGCTTCAAGAAGCACTTGTGGTTCTCATTATGTACAGCTTCAAGAAGCACTTGTGGTTCTCATTATGTACAGCTTAAAGAAGCACTTGTGGTTCTCATTATGTACAGCTTCAAGAAGCACTTGTGGTTCTCATTATGTACAGCTTCAAGAAGCACTTGTGGTTCTCATTATGTACAGCTTCAAGAAGCACTTGTGATTCTCATTATGTACAGCTTGAAGAAGCACTTGTGGTTCTCATTATGTACAGCTTCAAGAAGCACTTGTGGTTCTCATTATGTACAGCTTCAAGAAGCACTTGTGGTTCTCATTATGTACAGCTTCAAGAAGCACTTGTGGTTCTCATTATGTACAGCTTCAAGAAGCACTTGCGGTTCTCATTATGTACAGCTTCAAGAAGCACTTGTGGTTCTCATTATGTACAGCTTCAAGAAGCACTTGTGGTTCTCATTATGTACAGCTTCAAGAAGCACTTGTGGTTCTCATTATGTACAGCTTCAAGAAGCACTTGTGGTTCTCATTATGTACAGCTTCAAGAAGCACTTGTGGTTCTCATTATGTACAGCTTCAAGAAGCACTTGTGGTTCTCATTATGTACAGCTTCAAGAAGCACTTGTGGTTCTCATTATGTACAGCTTCAAGAAGCACTTGCGGTTCTCATTATGTACAGCTTCAAGAAGCACTTGTGGTTCTCATTATGTACAGCTTCAAGAAGCACTTGTGGTTCTCATTATGTACAGCTTCAAGAAGCACTTGTGGTTCTCATTATGTACAGCTTCAAGAAGCACTTGTGGTTCTCATTATGTACAGCTTCAAGAAGCACTTGTGGTTCTCATTATGTACAGCTTCAAGAAGCACTTGTGGTTCTCATTATGTACAGCTTCAAGAAGCACTTGTGGTTCTCATTATGTACAGCTTCAAGAAGCACTTGTGGTTCTCATTATGTACAGCTTCAAGAAGCACTTGTGGTTCTCATTATGTACAGCTTCAAGAAGCACTTGTGGTTCTCATTATGTACAGCTTCAAGAAGCACTTGTGGTTCTCATTATGTACAGCTTCAAGAAGCACTTGTGGTTCTCATTATGTACAGCTTCAAGAAGCACTTGTGGTTCTCATTATGTACAGCTTCAAGAAGCACTTGTGGTTCTCATTATGTACAGCTTCAAGAAGCACTTGTGGTTCTCATTATGTACAGCTTCAAGAAGCACTTGTGGTTCTCATTATGTACAGCTTCAAGAAGCACTTGTGGTTCTCATTATGTACAGCTTCAAGAAGCACTTGTGGTTCTCATTATGTACAGCTTCAAGAAGCACCTGTGGGTCTCATTATGTACAGCTTCAAGAAGCACTTGTGGTTTTCATTATGTACAGCTTCAAGAAGCACTTGTGGTTCTCATTATGTACAGCTTCAAGAAGCACTTGAGGTTCTCATTGCAAATATGGAGTAGATATGCAGGCATTAAATATATACCCAGGATTGTGATATGATTTTAAGTTCAGCACTAATGTGATCTTATGTTCAGGACTGTGGTGTGATCTTATCCTGCTTTAGGCAGGACAGTCCTGCTTTTGAGCACTGGTCTCCATCATGCACCACCTCAAGCTGGACATTAATTTGACTTCTTTTTGGGGCCTGTCTTAAAATTACATAAATTACATTTGTATACTAAAACAGCGGGAACTGAAAGCCACAATAACCACTGATGCATTTTTATTATAATTTTATGTAGTTGCCATTGGTAACACTATGCATGGGGCTGCAGTGCATATGTACAAGACAAGTCAAGCTATCAATCAAGTACATGTCAGAGCCTGAGATGGTCAGTCTGCCAGGCCACAGTGGGAAGTGGTTGATTTTATTTCTTGCTTTAACCCTTTGAGGGTCCAAACCGTAGATCTACGTCATGAGCTCAGCTCACTCTGATAAACTGTGAGTGGTACATTTGGGCCTAGATATGAGAGAATACATCTATGTGGTATGTGTGCACCACATAAAACAGATCCTGCAGCACGCTGTGTATAATGAGAGAAAAAAACTGAAATCATGATTTTTCGATTAAAACAGCGACTTTGCAGTGTTTTTTCGTATGTTTTTTATAGTTTTATTTGCGATTTGTTGGTCTCATTTGATAGAATGGAAGACATATTACAGAAATAACGATGATTTTGATTGGTTTTAGCACTGGAAATGGCTTGAAACTGAGCTCAAAGTAGCAGAAATGTTAAATTTTTGCCAATATTCAAGAGTAAACAAACGACCTCACACGTCTAATACACGCCAGCTGGTGGGTCTAATATGCATTCACAAATATGGTGATGATATTTATACAATTATTACAGTATTGCATAACAGTAAATCTTCTATTTTTTGGTGTGAATAAAAATTCATTATGTGAATAAAAAATCAAAATGGAATTTATATGTAAAGCTTCAAAACGTAACTAATGAACAGAGGAAATGTTAGTTTAGTTCCAGGAATACCTACATTGTTTATTCTGGACCCTATTTTGAAATTGGAATATTTTGAACTGTGTTAAATTGGCCAAATTAACAATTTCCGATCACTTTAATTTGTAGTTGAAACAGTTGACTTGGCGATTTCTTGTGCTCAATCGATAGAATAGAAGTAATACTAGTGAAATAGCTAAGAATTTGGTTGACTGGAATAATGTAATTGGCCTAAAATGGGAGTCAAAGTCGGCAAAATCGCCGATTCGTAAATATCGCTGACACATCAAAATTCGCGAGAGCATAATTTCGTCAATTTTCCATCAAATTTCGTACTTTTTGTTTTATTACCTTCACAAAAAGATACTCTACCATTTCATAAGAAAAAATAACAAATTTTTTTTTTTGAAAATTCTTGGACACTGGGGCACCACTTCAGATTTGGGCCTTGGACCCTGAAGGGGTTAATAGAGCCCCTAAAGATATGCCAAAACAAAAGACTACATTTAACCATGGATGGGCCAAAGATCTGGATTTATTGCTAAAAGCAAAAAAATGTGATTCATGCATTTTGTACACTATGCCGTTGTAATGTGAATATTAGAAGCATGGGAAAAAATGCAGTTGAACAGCATGCTGCCACAGATAAACAAAGTTAACATTCATAGTGCCAATACATCATCAATGTTATCATTTTTCTCCCCAACTCAATCATCTCAAGATGACGAAATAACGACTGCAGAACTGTGTAAGGTGTATCATGCTGCAAAGCATTATCAGTCATACAGAAGTGTTGACTGTGGAGTAAAAGTTGACAAAGAAATATAGTGACTCACTGATAGTGAAGGGTGTAACATGTGGAAAAACTACAACAAAAGCTCTGTGTGAAAATATTCTAGCACCGTATTCTGTACCAACACAAGTGGAGTACATCAAAGAACATGGTTTGCCCTTTTCAATAGCAACTGATACTTCTCATTTTGAGAAGGAAGTGCACTGTGTTATTTGACTTTTACAATGACACCAATGAATTAACAGAGGCCATAACAAATCAGCTACTCTCTAAACTAGAGACATCAGGTCTAGATCTGAATAAAGTCTATGGATACTCTGCTGACAATGCAAGTGTAAACTATGGAAAACACAAGTGTTATCAAAAACTGAAAATGGCTTATTGTGCAGTCACAATTAACCCGTAAATGATCCAAGCAGATCTACATTCACATGTGTAGCGCTACAAAAGTAGATCTACGTTTTTTTTTACATATTTTAAAATGTAACAAAAAAAAAGTAGATCAAAGTTTTTTTACACATTTTCAAATGTAAAAAAAACAAAAAGAAGATCTACTTTTTTTACATACTTTCAAATGTTGAAAAAACGTATACACCTACCATCCGACTTACGACCTGCTCGACTTACGACCACTCGACTTACGACCGTGTTTTTTATGCCAAATTTCTGGGAAATAAACAACTATTTGTGTTGTACACAGTGTTTATCCTAAACCTTACAGTATAAAATACAGTACTTACAGCATAAAAAGTAAAGTAAAACATGAAATACCAAAATAAAACAATAAAATAAAGTCATTACAAAAATGGGAAAGTGGGGAGATGGATCTTCAACTTCCTAACAAATCGAACACAAAGAGTAGTGGTCAACAGAGTTAAATCGGAGGCTGCCATAGTGAAGAGCTCTGTTCCACAAGGCACAGTACTCGCCCCCATCTTATTCCTTATCCTCATATCAGACATAAACAGAGATATACACCACAGCACCGTATCATCGTTTGCGGATGATACTAGGATCTGCATGAGGGTGTCATCTGCTGAGGACGCGGTTAACCTCCAAGAAGATATAAACAAAGTTTTCCAG